CAAACGGAGACGTAACAATATCTTCATACAAACTTGTTATTTTTAAGTCCAAAGCTACACAATGGGCTATCAATGCTTTGCCCACCTCTGATATCAAACCAAGAATTTTAGCATTATAAGCCTTCAAGCTTACCAATGAGCCACCAAGGGGCTTTATATTAACATAACAATGAATACACAAATCAAAATTCACAAATATTCACATAAAACAAAATACAGTAATGGAAATAATTGTAGAAACACATAAGAAATATAGCAGGAAGAAACAATGAGCAAAAGCAACTATATGTTAGATTTACTAATGATATAAAACATTATCATATAAAATAAAAAATAAAGCAAATATTTCACAGAAAGCATTAGTATTTTGTATATAAGCCTTTTGCTTTATATAAAGCATTACACCTTGTTTTTATGATGCTGTACAGTTTTTCAGTGTATGATTGGGAAACATTGTTCTAAGTGACCTGTATTACTTAGCCAAGTTGTTTGGTCACCTTTAAACATTCCTATTATTTACATAAGCCCATACAGCCTCAAGAACGTTCATATCAGGACTATCTACAAGCCAGTTATGGATGTGAGTGTTTCATCAGCCTCTTTACAGTCCAGATAATGTTTTAACACAGTAGCTATATGGATGGATCATTGTCTTGCTGGTACATGTTCCCGAGGGCATGGCAAGAGGGATCAGAATTTGCCTGTATTTGTCAGCAGTTAGGGAGTCATCAATTTTGTGTAGATCATTAACATGTTGGCTGAGGTGCAGCCTCAAACTTGTACAAATCCTCACCATGCTTCATTCTAGATGATGTTTACTATGATACTGCCTTTCTTATAGCCATCACAAAAACTGTCATTGATTATTGTACAGCAATTTCAAATTGGAATCATCTGTAAAGGTCAGACATATCCAGCTTTGCTCATTCCATTGACTGTGGTTCAACCATTTGCTTTGATTACCTCTTCTAAACGGTTCTAGGACAGTTCGCTACTGGTTTTTTCGTTACTAGGGTATTCTGCTACCAGGTCATTTCTCTACCTGTTCCAGCTACGTATAAATAACTCATTATGGCTGGACAACTATTCAAGGAAAGCCTGAATAATTTTTAAAAAGTTCAAATCTTTCATTGTTTTAAATAAAATGTTTTACCACATAAGAGCCTTTTTTATTTTGAAGGAGTATCTCTCAAATAACCTAATATTGATGAAATATTTACTAATATTTTACTGACTAGAGTGTTTGTCTAATGAACTAATACTGACAAAATATTTTTATTGATGATCTTAAATAAGACAGGTAAGGGAGATTATGACATAAAATTATCAGGTAGCGAAATGACATGGTAGCTATACATTTACATTATAGCGTAATAGTATTAAGTGTGTAATTTGTGACAAATTCAGAAAATTATTTAGCAGTAAGAAGAAACTCTAAAATGAGCAATTTGGAGCAAAGGACTTTCATGTGGTACAGAGAAGTAAAGACAGAATTATTAGATATTAAGAAATTAAAAAGTATTATATTAAAATTTGAATTATAAACAATGTTTTGGTGTCAAGTTATTGAAATACATTGATAATAAAATTGTTTAATTAAATTAAAATGTAACTCTTTAAAAAAAAGGTTGTGACATGTGCACTTTGCTCTCCCATGTTTTCCATGTTTCAGTAGGAGCTGTATTCAAGATTCTGAAGAGGGTACATGAAACTGGCACTATTAAAAAATAACAATAGTTGAGATACCAAATTGTAACTATTCAAAAATTATGTTAAGTATCTCAAGGTATGCTTTTTAAGAGATAGACAACAGACAACCTTGTTGCCAGTATAGGTGTCAATATTATCTTAAAAGTATTAAGATGTATATTAGCACAGAGGGACTTCAATTAATGTGTTGCTTCTTAAGAAATTCTGTTTAGAAGGGTGACTGGAAAGTTCGCTATTGAATATTTCATTTTTGGACATTTAGCTACCGGTCAGCTCGCTACAAGTCTTTTCATTACTAGGGTATTTCGATCAATCACTGGACTATATTCCAAGAAAACTACTGTAAATTATTTGGCCTTCTATGTAAACAATAATAGGTTAAAAAAATTCCTAACTTCTCAGAGTTGTACTTCTCCTTGTACTGACCTATCATGCTTTAAATGCAAATTAATTGACTTTTGCAGTTTAAACAAGACAGAAAATTGTGATTTACATAATGTATAATTTACTCTTTCTGTTGGTTATAAATAATTCAGTAGCAAATTTCAGGGAAAATTTTTCACATTTTGTGAAAAACGATGTGATAGGAGGGGATGGCATGTGGGTTTGTTTTACTGAGATATAAAGCAGAAAGCTTTATAGTGTTTTGTAAAATTCAAATTTGAAAGCTACAAGTATTTCTGAGACAACCAACATATTTATAAAAAAAAAGAATGCAGGGACTCGACTGTGAATTGGCATAGACTAAAGGTCATGGAATATGAAGACTGTAAGATGAAAAATATTTTTATTCTTGGCAGAAAAATCACCTTTCACTCCGACTGAGTCAATAAAGATTTCATAAATTCCTATACAAACTTTTAATAGAATTATAAAAAAAAAAAACTCATTTTTGTGTACAACAGATTTGGAATGTTTACTGAAAGATTGCCAAATTTTGTGAAGGTACACCTTGTAAATTCGGAATAATAATATGCATTGATATACATAGCTTCACAGAAAAGGGGGTTGGTGTAATGCACCAATGCCATACACATAGAGTTAACCAGCCAAAACTTTAACTGATATAAGCTTGTCAAGAACTTTTCAGTCCTACTACTGGATATAGTACAACTGTTTGTATATTTATACTGCAGTGCCACTTTCGGATTTATTAGGTGACAACCACTTACTGTGTAAACTATCAACACATGACTATACTATAGTGCAGTTCATTTTCACATTATAAAGTGATAGCATTCATATAGTATTTAACCTTTATACTCCTTACCTCAATTTCCATGATTTCCATTACCATGTAATGCTACTTTTTATTTCCTATTTACATTTTTTTTACATCAATAATTTATTTAATTTTGACGTAGTAATGTATGTACACTTTCAAATCCAATTATTTCAAAATTTTTATTTTGTTATTTTTAAGAATATTATTAAGATGTAATAATTCATTCTTTTGTGTTACATAATGTTTACTAACTTTATTTTTAAGGTTTTACACAATAAAATTCAGAAAAAGTAGAAAACAGACTTATTCTATAGTATATACAATCAAGAATGTATCTTACATCAACAAGGATTAGTTACTTGTCTCTGTAAAAATTAATTTGTGCAAAGTAGCTAGAGACTTGTGCAATTAAACATGCAAAAACGTTCAATATAGATTTTCTATTTTTGATCTATATTGAGATGACCACAAATATTTGTTTCAATGAATGCTCATACACATTAATCTTTCCTAGTACAGAATTCATTAACTTATAAAAACCTACTTGTTAGTTATGATATTGTATTCAGAAATTTTTAAGGAGAATTCTACAATCTCTAGTAAAACCTCTTGACAAATTGAGTAGTTCTTCTGGTATCTTTGTTGTTCCTTATATTTTAGCAACTTCTGGTTAAATTCTTGCTCTTGAAGAAATTTGTCTTTCTGTGCTTTCTTCAGCAATTCAGCTCTAATCTGTTGAAATATTTATAAATTAATCATTCATCAGTCACGTTTTCCTTTCAAAGCAGTCTAAATGTCTATATAAATTGAAAGTAGCTATAATAAAAATGAAAATGAAACATCAATTACATTCAGAAATACAGTGAGTTTTCTCCTTATCAAATGAAAAATTAACAATATGAAGGAACATATTAAGTTAACTAGATCACCTACTTATAAAAGTGGAAAAAGGATGAAGCCTATTAACTCTCTCAACACAGACTTGTTCAATTTGACTTACCATGTGACCTCTTTGTACATGTTTGAAGTCTGTATAGTTTTGATACTACTAACTTTTAATATAGAATATATATCTTCACAAAATTTGGCAGACTTTCAGTAAACATTACAAGTCTTTCACATACAAAAAGTCGTATTTTTAGTGAAGTATTTTTAATAAATTAAAAAATGATTTGTCTGTGAATATATTGAGTATTTTGTTTTACTAGTCTGTGTGCAAACTGTTAAGATAAAAATATAAAAATACTTTCTTCATCTCAAAAAATCTCAAGTTTCATTTGCATAATCTCTAAAATCTCCTTAAATACATTTCAAATGTTTATTTTCAGTAAAACTTTATATTTTATCTGTTATATCCTCTACCATAACTCTATACAAGGTTGTTCAATTTGACCAACCTTGTAACCATCAAAACAAAACTGAAATAAATCTAAATTACCCTTTTTTTTTCTTTCTGGAATGACTTCAAGTTGTAACAGAAAACTACATTTGTTTATCCTAAGTAGCTTTAAACTCGTAACAATATACATGTATTTAAATTTTATTGTTTTTTTTTATTGCCCTTTTAACCATGTCTTACTACTACTATTCATGCCATTATAAGTTGTAACTCATTTGGGGAGCGATGGAGGTGAGACGCCAAGGAAAAGGTAAGGTGCTTGATCTGATGCAATGACACATGGAACAGAATTCAGGAGGGAGACAGAAAGGAATAGAGGAATATTCCAACTGGATCAGTTGACAAACCCAACTTGTTAGGGTAGAAAAAGAAAGATCATGTACAGAAGAATGTTGTCATAGAATGAAAAGGTGGGAATAGGAACCATGGAAGAAGGTCATGTGGGCAATCTAAAAACGAAAAGCATGTACAGGACACAGAAGTCTATCCAGATCAGACGGGGAATAAAGGTGGGAAATGGATGGAAGTGAAATTGGTAAGAATGAAGAATGTCCCTCACGAGCCTTCAAATTTTTGGGCAGGAAAGACTGATCCATATAAAAGAGAACATATGTGGAATGGAACAAAGTATGTGAAACACTGATGGCAAATATATCAGACTGACAACACCTATATGCTAAAAGGAGCACAAAATAAGTCTTAAGGGATAGGTGAAACATGGAACATGAGAACAAAGGTTCAAATGGAGGGAGTGTAAGGCAGTGAAGAACAATATTGACAATCCAATCTAGAAGAACTGATTGACAAGGAGGTCTATCAATCTGGAAGAATGCAATAAAAGAGAGACTTAGGTGAGGAAAACACCAGATGGTACGAGGTGTTGGATAAAGATGCTTGATAGCCAGTTGTGGAACAGACAGAAGCCTCATGATAGAACATTTAGGTGAGAAAATTCATAAGATGAAGAACAGTAAACCAAGATGGAGAAAAACTCTGACTCAACTACCAATGATGGAAGGCATACCACTTAAATTAATAAACCTCAATAGGGGAAGGTAGAGCAGTCCATGTAACAAGGGAAGCGACACGTTTAAACAATCCAGATCTCCTTGCCAGGGACCTGATAAATGCCAGGCATCAAGTCAGAAGGTGTGAAGGGTTACCAGTGCCCGAAGCTGATGGAGTAGGGATAAAGTGAGAGGAAGAGGCAAAGGGGGTAGTTTGGAGCTGAATACGACCTGGAAACCAGAGTTGTTATGACCAGTAAGGAGCAATCAGAAGGACCTGTCATGGAGTGGCATGGACAATTGAAATCATCCTGGGAAGAAGTCAGATGGGAGGGTAAACATAAAGGTACCGGTTGGTCCAGTCCTGACTGAGGATATCCACAGCCAGGACCTGAGGATGAGGAACCAAAAACCGAAAAAGAGGTAACTTGGTATTGAGGAAAGTGGCAAAAGCATCCAAATGAGGAGTACCCCACTGCTTGTATAGCCACCTGAAAACCTGAGGGTTGAGAAACCACTCCATGGGATAAAACTGGTCGGATCTTGAAAGACCATCCACCACAAGGTTAAAAGTACCTGGAATATGACACACAAGGAGACTTATCCACAGTGTGTGAGCCCAATAAAGGAGTTCTAATGTTAGACCACAAAGGGAATGGGAACAGGTACCCCCTTGGTGATTGATATATGGCACAATAGCGGAATTGTCTGAATGGATCATGACATGTTGGTTCCATAGCAGAGGAATAAAATTATCCAAAACACGTTGTACTGCCAGAAGCTCCAAGATATTGATATGGTAAGATTTTCGATCTGAGACCATTGTCTAGAAGCCTCCTGCTGATTGACCCACACACCCCAACCTTGGAGAAAAGCATCTATGAACAGATGTAAATCCAGATGAGGTGGAGGAAGCAGTACTCCTATCATTGTGTTGTCTTTGTTCAACCACCAATGCAGATCATTGGTAAAGGAAAATGGAAGGATAACTGGGGAGTCCAAGGGATCCTGAGCAAAATTCCACTGGTTGTGCAGAGTCCACTGAAGGGAATGCATATGTGCCAACTGAAGGGGATAAGGCCTCAAAAGCATTCAAGATGTCTACCTTGGTCATCCACAGTTGTGGAGAAAAAGGCCATCAGAGTGTGAGAAAGTATTCTATGATAAAGCCAGGAAGATCCAGAAATTGGTTGAGGTAGGACAGATCAATCACAGGATGCCAGTCCCCAGATTTCTTGGAAATGATAAAACTTCTGGAAAAAAACTTGAAGAAGACTGGCTGACACGCTCAACAGCTCTCTGTGACAGAAGAGTCTGTACAGCATTGGATAGATGTTGAGTGGTATTGGGATCCCGAGGTAATGGGAAGAACTTGGTACAAGAAACAACAGGAGCAGGGAAAGGAAATGGATGAAAAGTCCTTCTGACAAAACTTGGATCACCCAAGGAGTGATAGTGAATTCCCATCACTGGAGAACAACTTTGGCCAAATACACCCCCACTGGACCAGAAACCACCTGATAGTCACTGGAACTGCTCGCAATGATAAACCCGATGTCAAGACACACGACAAAATTTCTAACCCCTAGTGGTAGGAGCTGGTAAAGGATAGGAGGGTGCAGAACAAGAAACAGTTATGAGAGAAGTCATGGGATAAGAATGAGACAAACTAGTAACCAAACATAAAAGAGTCTAATATTGTCTCACAGATTCCACAGGTGATTCCGAAGACTCATGAATATCTCCAAAAATAGACTGATGGAGAAAAGGAGCCATTCATAAGTGACAAAGGTAAGTGGAAGGTAGATGAACCTGTGACAAGACAGCATCCCTCCAAGAAAATCCCAACATCAAAGAAATCCCATGTGAAGGTATAGGGCCGAGGAGGAAAACTGCACCAACATGGAGGTAATGAGGGTAAAGGTATCCCCCAAAAACCACTCAGTGGATCAGTGGAAGGCTTCGGAAAGGAGGTGTATGTTGGAAAAGTACCGTAGGAGAGCTGTAAGGGTAAAATGAAGGCAGAAAGCTAGACATGAGAGAAATGGATAGGATTTTCAGGGTCAACCTCCCACATTTGCAAAAGTGACTCCAACTGCAGGGTGTCGAGAAAGGGTTGATCAGCCTGATGATAAGTCAAAGCATAATGATCAAAAGTTTATGGAGGACAAGGCATGATAACACCAGCCCTCAACTAAGAAACAAAATGCTTAGCATGAATCCTGATGTTAGGGGAAAGGAGAGAAAACAAGATAGTTTAAGGATGGGGTGTCATATAACAAAGAAGGAAGAGGAATATGAAATCGTATCCAAAAAAAGACTGGATTAGGCCTGGCTGATTCTGCAGGAGAGGTTTGGGAAGGTACTGCATAGTTAGGTGTAGGAAAAAGGCTATCAAAACCATTCTCATCATAAACAGGTTCGGACAATTCAGGAGGAACCCGAACATTGTAGGAGAAGAAAGACAACTCACATAAAGATCAATAACCAGAAGAATGATAGCCAAAAAATCCTCAGCCAAAACCCCCCAATCTGAAGCCCATGTAATGGTGCTCAAAGTAGTGGGAAGAATATCAAAGTTGTAACACGAACTTCAGAATTCATCTTAAACTGTGAAGATGAAAATTAAAAAAAAATTAGATAAATGAGGGTAAGTTATTGCTGCAAACTACTACAGAAAACTAACTGTAGAAAATAGATAATTTAAGTAAACCATTCTTTCGCCAAAAAAATTAAATGAACACATGAAAAGAGCATCATTGAAAAATGTCTGAACTAGACCACTGCCTAACAAGAAGTGATAATTCGGTAGATCTGCTTTTAATGTTATATATTTGTGCTCTATCTAATGACTGGTTAACTGATGACCCCACAAATCAATTAATACAGTTTTCCTCCAACCATGGTATGTACAAGCAGGTAGGTAGTGGGTGTTGCCAGCCAGAAGCCTTCCCTCTAGTCAGCATTTCAACAGAAAAGAAAAAAGCTGGTGTCAGATGCTGCCAGACAGTTGCCCTCCTTCTAGTCAGTAGTTCAAAAATAGATAAATAAACACTGACATCAGGTGCTGCTAGCCAGTAACCCTTAATCTAATCATCAGTTCAAAATTAGTGACAGTGGTAAATAGCATTAATATTTTTGCCATAACAAAGACAGAGAGAGTAAGTTCAGTGGCAGTGGGAATCAAACCTAGGACTCTCAATTGTTGGAACAACCAAAAACAGTAATAATCATAATTTCAATTAATCAATTGTTGGAATAACTGAAAACAGTAATAATCAGAAACACTAATTTTGATTAATCAATTTAATCATAATTTCAATTCATCATTTAGTTTACATGACATTAACTGATGCAATTGCTACCCATAGGTAATCAATTAAATCACCCAGCCCTACTGATCATGACACAAATTTAAAGGATTCAAACATGTTGTTTAATGTAAATAGGGCTTCAAAACAACGGAGTAAAATTTTCTTCTGGCACTAAAAATAATTATTATTTTCATTGTTTTAAATATCTAAACCAAAATCCATAATATTCATCTAATAAAGGAACACTTTATTTATGTACTGCTCCACATTATATCAGACCTTTCATTTCAGTAAAAAATGTGGTACATTCTCACTCTTAAACTACTCATAAAGTAAGGAATAAAATTATATAGCATAAGTTATATAATATATTACATCATGCAGTTAACTTCCCTGAATAACAAAAATATACACTGGTTCTTGCATACAAATTGTTATTTAGAACTTAAAATGTGAGATGTTATTTCGAAATGTGTCAATCTGTCTAATACTTGACTACTAAAAACCTTTTAGCTTCTTCTAAATTATCAAAATTTGGGTTAATAGCTTCATTTCTTATATTCATATAAATAAAATAATAATGATTTTTATAAATATCTTAAACAAAAGATAGATTTAACTGCAACAGCCTATTAAAACACTTCTAGAAAACTTTTATATTTGACTTGAAAACTTGAACTGTTTTTTCTTTCTGATAGTCAAAACATATATTTAGTTATAACAAATATTCTCGCTAAACATACCTTTTCTTGTTCTAAACTTTCTTCAAACTCTTGCTGTCTTTGCTTCTCAAAATGTTTTTGTACAAGAAGTCTATTGTAACGAAGAATTTCTTTTTTCTGTTTTAAATCTATTAGTTGTGAAGAAACTCTGTGTTCAAACTGAGACCGTTTCCTTAAACACCCAACAAGCCACTCCTCAAGTTTTGTTTCCTTACAAAGAAAAATTTCCAATATTTTTCATGATGAGTTTCAGTTCTATTCATAATTGTAAATATATTTGATCAGTTTAGTTTCAACAAAACCACAGTAACATAGTGATTTTCAGTTGATACAACTGTCAATCAGTTTTGTGTAAACACAGCTACAATCATGTCTTACTCACTGAATGTACTGTATTTTTTTGTGTGTAGTATAGTAAAATTAAACTAATACCCAGATCAGTTTGAAATATACTCAGGCCAAATGTAGTCACCAAAACTACAGAAAATAAATTTAATAATAGGAAGAAATACCAGAATTTTTGTTCTTAAAACATACGTTTTAATTGGAAAAAAGTCTAAGAATATACTTTTCTATACATTGCTTATAAAAGTTTTACAGCATTAAATCTTTAAATAAAAGAATCTGAATACCAAAATAATTACAAAATAATTTCTAAATTGCTGTAAAAATAAGTCTGTGAAACATCAACATTTGTACATTTGTTTTGTGGACAAGGCCTGCTCATTTCAATATTAATATTCAAACACAGAGAAAACAATAATAGTAGTAAATGGAAATTAGCCACTTTGTTCAAAATTGCAGGAAATATCACACTATCGTTAGAATGGAATTAATATAGTTTATCAGACAATTTTAGTAATTTCTGTATTGATTTTGTTGAAACTAATGTCCTTTTGTGGCAGTTTGAGTTCTTAAACAGTGCCTTAACTAGCTACAGTTAGTGGGTTAGCCATTTAGCTCAATTTACAGAGCATTTTTCTGGCATCTGGGAGGTCTCACATTTGATATGGAGTAAAAAGAGACAAATAAACTGGACTACTACAAGAAACTGGCACCCTGCTAGTGGTTAACCCAAAACCCTCTACGAGATAAAGCCCAGCATTACAGCCCTCAGTAGAATAGGTATGACCTCAATAAAATGATAAAGTAAGAAAGGTAGCTAGAAGAAGTCAACTTAATTTTCTTAACAATATGTTTTGTGAAAACTGCACATACTTAGAAAGGCTGATAAATTTAGGAGAACACTATATTAATACAAGAAGGTGAAAAGCCCATGGTATGCTTATATACCATATATATATATTCCTATATTGCTCAAATTCCAGAACAAAATGCACTGCCATAAGTGTAACACAAGTTTCAAATCTAATCTTGTTACTGGAATATATTAGTATAAATAGCTGTGATGATAAAATCTAGTATTACACAATAACAACTTTAAAAATCATTTAATATTTAGTGTGTTTTTTTGGTAATTTGATCCTATTTCACTTGCAAATATACATTTAATAAATTTATAGGAAATTATTTTTTCAATGAAGTTATCAAAAAGCGCATTAAAAATTATGATAGATGACTTATATTATATGTTTAATCTTGTATAAATAAATGTAATTTCTTGACAAAAAATTTATTTATGTATAACTAAGTATGCGTGACATTCAGTGAGCTAATGTTTTTCTTACTGTCTTTTCGTTAGTTATGTCAATCTTATATAATTGTTTCTTACTTGACTTTTAATCTTGCTTTCTTTTAATCTTGCCAAATATTCCTTACGATACTTTTCTCTTGCTTGAGTGCGATATAAGTCATTTTTCACACGTTTTCTAATATTGCTGATAATCATATTAACTGATGATCTCTCTAGTGTAGAATTTTCTGTGCATCTAAATGGATCAGAATCAAATGCCATTTTCACACACATAAATTTCTTCTAAATATCCTTCCAGATTAAATTATTATAAATTTATACAGTTTTAAAATTATAATTCATTTATTATTTGCACCTTTTTTTATCTGCAAAATTGACTTATGCACCAGATGTTATCTGAAGTATGTTACAACAGACACATTATTCCTTATAAAATATATTTCATATATTGTATGTTAATAAAATTGTTGGGCTGTATCAAACTCACTGCTATACAATTTGCAATAAACATGACAATAGAAACAGAACTTGTGACCATTCCTCATCTTTTACATAAAATGAATTAAGATTTGTAAAGTAACATGTCAAAGGTTTATGTCATTAACTTTTTCCAAATTATATGATGTAATTTGTTGTAAAATGTGTAAAACATCTGAAATTCAAATCTATGTTATATCTAAATAGTCTGATTAATATTACAAAGTAACATTTTTGCTCATATCCCTCAAAAAATGTTCTAAGGAGATGCATTGGTTATAAAGTTCATCACTGCATAAAGTACCAAAATGTTCATAAATCTTTATTAAGTACTCCTTTTATTGGTGTAAAGGCACCAAGATGAGCACCTTTCAAAAGCATCTGAAGAGCACTCATAGAGTGTGCCTTCGTTATGCAGAGGAAACACACTTGTGGGAGACCACACCATGTCTGAACCAGGTATATTCATCGACCATGTGGAGCCAATAAAGGTTTTGTTGCAAAAAGGGCAGAAAATATATCAATTCCAAATCCAAAGGAAGTGGAATATGTGTAGAGTAGCTAGAGTGCATCTAACTATAAGCAGGAGGTCAACTCCAGTCCAGACCAGTGGCACCAGGAGTGGCTTGACTGGCCCATGGCAGAAGGAGGGTCCTAAACCATTCACCTCAGGCTTAGGAACCAGAAGGGAAAATGTGCCTTCATCCCAAGAATCTAAGCCATCGTATGTGCAAATCCAGCACCATCTGCAACAATAAAACCCCACAAATGTACATTCAGAGGAAGACAGGAAGTAAAAAATTAAATGTTGAGGGTCAAATCCAGCACAAAACCAAATTAAATATCCAGTCTGTGGTAGGAGGAAGTTCCCAGCCCACACACACATGTGAGAATTTATGTTGAGTGGTTTACATCTCCAAGAGTAAGATAAAATGAAAAAAAACTACACATTTCAAAAATAAAAATAAATGAATGGAAAAAAGCAGCCAAAGAAAAAGCTGAATCATTTAAAAATCAAAGAGTTGTAAGCTTTTTAATTACTATCTTAAGTGAATTGGAAATCAACATATATTTCAGCAAACAGATTGCAATTTGCAGTTACTCCTAAAATAATTCAATAAACAGAAATTCTGGGACTCCTATAAAATGCATAAAAAGAAACCAAAAGTTTGAACTAAAAAGAGTACAAGACATTAAAACCAACTTGTTTATTTGTTTGTCGTTTTTGGATATCTGTGCTAATCAACTCTTTGGCTATTTTTCATATTCATCCCTAATTTTGAACTGCTAGACTTGAGGGTAGGCAGCTATCCAACAGCACTCACTGCCAACTGTTGGGTTACTTTTGTCTAACTAATGAATTGGATTTTACAATCAGCACTATAATGCAATTATGGCCACAAAATGTGGAGTGCTTTTTTTTTTGCAGTAATAGAGTATGAATTATGGACCTGTAGATCCATGGTTTGACATACTAACCATTAAAAGAAATTCATAGTGCTTCAAACATATTTTCAACATTAAAAGTGAAGAAGTGCATGAAATAATGTAAATGGAGTGTACATCAAAATAACAAAATTAAAGTTTAAACATTCTTCTTAAACAACTATTGAATTACACCCTGATCTTTGAATTAGTTATAGGAAAACAATAACAGAAACTTTCTTGAGCTGAATGGCAGTGAATGCTGGTTTCTAATGTTAAAAAAACAGTACAATAAAAGAATCAAAATATACCCAACCTATCAGTCAATGTTTCTTGATTGTAGTTATTTGACATAATGTTTTTCTGTTTTTCTTCAAACTTGACAATATCTTCTTTAGTTTCCTAGAAAAAAAGTATTATCTAAACAAAACTAATTTCCAGCAAGTATTAAGTTAATATATGAAGTACAGGTGATATTATTTTATGTATGCATCAAATATTTAAAATACTTAAAAAAATAATTAATATTAAGAAATCCTTTTGAAATTTTCAATGGCAATTTAATCATTGTCTTTGAACAGTTCATTATTCAGTGAACTCAAAAAAAATATAAAAATTTAGGAATTTTCTAATTTATATCTTATTTTCAAACAAATCATTTTATGAGTAAATCTTGTACATATTTATTAAACAAAATTTAATGTAATATCAATGAAAAGTATCAATTACAATTTTATTAAATGTGAATTTAAACAAACAAATCTATTGGAAGTTTTCAACATTTGATACTCTGAATGACTAAAATACTTTGGTGAATGGATGTAACTATCTATAAAATAATAGGAGCATGTTCTGGACATACCTCAGCTTCCCTCTGAACTGCAGCTTGAGAAAATTTCACCCGAGTTTGTTTCATAAGTTCTCCAGTAAAAAAGATGTTCCTTAAAGCTTCATTTGCTTTTTCTCTTAAATTAAAAATAATCACGTTCAATGCAAATATTTGTGCAGGGGTTACAGGAAAAAACGTTTTCAGTCACAAAATTACTAGAATAAATTTTAATTATGAAGTTTTTATAGGAAGCTTGTTTGTGTGTTTAACATAATAAAGTTTAATAAAAACTATATACACGCACTATTATCATATGTTAAAGCTATTCTAATCATAATATTTTAAGTAGTTCTTAACTCTTTTAACAAATAGCTTTTGTAATATTTTAATCACTTTTAAATGTTAAGGTAAAAAACGACACATTTTTATAAGCTATGTCATACATAAATGTTTATTAATTTGTTCACCAAAACTTTACCATACATTCTCATAGAATGTAAGATTACCAAACATTTTAGTTATAGAGTGCTATATAATCAGGTTATTTTTTGTACTTATAATAAAAAGATTAATAGCTGACACCAGAAAGAAAGAGGCTAACTTCGTAAGTCAATTTTAAATAATGTAAGAAAGAATTTGGCACATTTTACTTGTAGAATGCTATATAATCAGGTTATTTTGTGTATTTATAATAAAAAGATTAATAGCTGACTTCAGAAAGAAAGAGGCTAACTTCGTAAGTCAATTTTAAATAATATAAGAAAGAATTTGGCACATTTTACTCGTAGAATGCTATATAATCAGGTTATTTTGTGTATTTATAATAAAAAGATTAATAGCTGACTTCAGAAAGAAAGAGGCTAACTTGGTAAGTCAATTTTAAATAATGTAAGAAAGAATTTGGCACATTTTACTGTAGAATGCTATATAATCAGGTTATTTTGTGTATTTATAATAAAAAGATTAATAGCTGACTCCAGAAAGAAAGAGGATAACTTGGTAAGTCAATCAGATTAACAATCAGCTTCTTCAAAGATAAAATACTAATCAGTTTTTGTGTACTTAAAAACAAAAATATAGCAGTTAAGTGCACAAAAACAAACTAACATTGTATGGAATTCAGCCCGTTTGTCATATGCAAACTATCTGCCACACATAAAATGTTTTTTAACCAGTTTCACCAGCATTTGCATATTTGTACCTTAGATATGCATTAACAGAATTACATGTCACTTTCAACAGAATCTGTTCTTTTAAGTACCAATAGTCACCTTGAATTATGTTGAGATAATTATAATTGGGTTTTTTTAATCATTGTTAAGATTTTATAAATGACTTTATCAGAATTTACTATTAAATATTTACATATATGTTCCTGCTAGCAATGAAATGTATGAGAAGGAATTGAATTATGTATTTTTCTGATGCAAAACTTAATAACTATATGACTGTAACTTAACTAACAGAAAATGTAATGTTTAATGTTCATGTTAAATTAACTTATGTATTTCAAAACTTATCTTTTTGTTCATTTTGGATAAAATATTTTTTTCCATTAGCAATTTATACAAAACCACCATGTTACTTTAAAAACATCATATGGTATAAAAACTTGCTCTAATTTACATGTTCATTTTCAATATAAGAAAATAACACATATATATATATATATATATATACAGAGAGAGAGAGAGACACACACACACACATATATACCAATATGTGAATTTAAACAAATCAATGAAAAGCAAAATGTTTTTACAAAATGAATCTACAGTTTTCCCTTCAACAATTTCATGGTTTGTAGTTTAAACAACTTGATAATAAAGATATCTGTATACTATTCCATATTTTAAGTAAACTAACATACTATAATTTAGTTATTTTATAAAGTTAACTAATGGCATAACTGTAGGCACAATATTTATAACTAACCATAGATCATATAGTTAGTACCTTACACCACTGCTAAAAAGATTTTGTGCATGTGTCAGGCCTTTTGAACAAAGCTCCCATCCCTACATGTATTAACATGTACTGCCCTAGTCTATGATGTAACCATCATTAAAAAACAGCCCTTCACCAATAAGAGGGCAATAGATACTTCGTACACGGTACTCTCTTTGAGCACTTTGTGTATACTAAAAGCTCATTCTTGACAAGGCAAACAAGACATACCAGAAGAGGGGAGAAAGGGTGGGTGGTCTTGCAGAAAGGTATCTATCTGAAACATATTTTCAGGCAAGAAAAATGTAAACTTCTGAAATGCTACACTCCTTTCCAGTCTCCACAGAGAAGATAGCTAGGATCACACATTGAGAAAATGGTAGAGAAACCAGAGTAGATAAAATAACTAAGAATATGAGATTCTTTCTGAGAACAAAGTGACAGACAAGGAAAAGTCATGCAGTATGTCACCCATTATAGAATGAGGGAGATTAATGGGTGCATCACACTGTGAGAAACCACATACATCTGAAGCAAGGAATATTCTTTGCCTTATAGAAGTTGTAGTGCAGAAAGGTATTGTAAAAAGAACCTTCTGCACAATACTAAAGTGTTGCAAAGCCTTCTCATTTTCCTGCATATCTCATGGGAATGCAGACCATGTATGTATTGTATGGCTAAGGCAATAAGTCAAGCTACACAGTACATGAGTGATACTTTCATTATATACTTACCAGAATAAGCAGATACGAGAATGAATCATCTGATACCTGCAAGCTGAGGAGAATGCAAGACCCATTCAGTTGGTCACAAATGCCAGGAATGGTCTGGATCTCTTCTACGCTTCCAGATAGAAAAACCTGTCCTACTTCCAATCAAGAGGTGCATTCACTTGGTCTCATACCAGTGGGATTACACTAACATGATGAGAAACTCTTCTGTTACTTGGTACTGTGGAAGTAAGAGCTCTCCCACTCTCCTGGATGAAAATATGAGGAAGATATATGCATAAGGAAGAACACCAAATAGTTTATGGACCAAACAGGAATTTTCTGTCATTTGCATAAGGTCCTACACTGACTGAGAGTAAAACAAATTAACTACCAAAGGAGTCTTATAAACACCCCATCTCAATAGTAGACAGGGGTAGTTGGGCTCAATGCTTTCTGTTATAGCCTATTTAATTCAGATTTCATAAGAGAAAAGTATTCCCTGTGAAGAAACACTGACATGTAGTGGATTCCATTGTCTTCACTATCTATATACAAAAACTGTTTTTCTGGTATCTTGAAATGGTTACTTTTTTGTGGAAGCTGCAAGAAAAAGAAATAATCAACATCTCACCTCTGAAGAAATAGTGACTGGAGGGAGGCAAAACCCAGAGGTGAAGGAAACTGCAATATGGTATGTGACATGTAACAAAAAGTTGTTGAGATCGTTCACATCCCTACCTGCAATATTTCATCCAGGATAGTGTTGACAGTCAGAGGCAAGACTAGCTATGAGATGACAAACTAGATGGGAGATAACATGAAAAAACAAAAACAAAAGGAGTCATCTCCCACAGAGGAATAGACAAGCTAGATGAAATGCTTAACAAAACCAGTTAAAGCAGAAGGAGAGGATTTTAAATGAAAGAAAAAGACATTAAATGCCTCAAAAAGGAGCAGTTCTGTTGACACAGCAATGAACTACCCAAACAAGACAAAATAGATGAATGTGGTTTGAGTGATTGTGCATAGCAGAAAGGGAAGAAAAAGTGATTGAAGAAAACATCTGATCATCCTCTTAAGCAGCCCAAGTTCTGGAAAAGAGCAGTCTGGGAAAAAAATCAACCTGTCCCTGTAGTAAAAAGTAAAGGAGGCATATATCAAAGAAATGTCTTCCACAGGCAACAAGGAGAAGAAAATACACCTTAAGGAAAAGATGTACAGGGATTTGAATGGAAGACACATAAGCATCCTGAGAACTAAACAAAGGTTCCAGTCTAGAAGAAGAACCAAATAACAAAGACATATGAATAGAAAGACTAACAAGAGGTCAGGAAGAACAGGTAAAAAAAAAGAAGAGAGGTGAAGAAGATGTGGAGGAAGGGGAAGCAAATGGACCTGCAAAGATAAATCATCAACATACAGTGATAAACTGTAAGCTTGGATGGCTGTCAAAAACAAGTGTGAAAATGAGCTATTCTGAGAAAAAAACTATCCATCCTGGGACCAGACAAGAAAAATCATTGTGAAATATGATGGCTGAAGCTAATGTGGTAAAAAGTGCACCAAGACAGTTCCAGGATTGCCAAGAGGCCAAAGAGTGGAAAGCACAACTGAGCTTGCCACAGAAGTGTAATAAGAAGAGCCTGTCTAGAAATGCTGTGAATTAAATTCAGCACCCTGGAAATAACTCAAAATGGAAGATATGCATAGAGAAAGAGGGTGGACAAATCCAGACTCAGAGGAACTACTATCAGGGCCACATATTCTGGGATTGGAGGCCAAAAAGTGGAAACTTGGTGAAGAGGGGAGTCACAAATGCAAAAGTAAGAGGACTCTGACAGTGGTGCTAAATACACAGATGTAAGGACCACTCTGTCTTAAGAATTTGGTCTACGTGAGACATCCAATCCACCAATAAGTTTGAAACTCCCATAACAACGAAGGCCAACAACCAGATGTTGTTGTCATGACCCAAAAAATTGAGTTTGAGAAAAAGAAAACATAGGTCCTGAGAGAGGATACCTCCCTGTCGGTTGATGTAAGTAATGATGGTGGAGTTGTTGAAATAAATTAATACAAGATGTCCAGACACCTGTGACAAAAGATGTTGGCAAACCCATTGAACTGCACATACCTCAAAGACAATGATGTAGAAAAATTGCTCCACAAGAGACCAAACACTGAAAATGGTGAAGGTATTCAAAACCACACTCCATCCACCTAGAAAGGCATCTGAACAGGTGTAGTTCCAGGTGAGATGGAGGAAGAGTGAAGCTCAGTGCCTTGTGGAAATGTTTAAACCACCACATTAGAGAAACATAAGGAGATGGTGGTAGAGAAATGGAAGAATACAACTGTATATTCCACTGATCTGCCAAAATCCAATGAAATGAACACAAAAGGACAAGTCCAGGGGAAGAAGAAACATAAGAGAGAGAGAGAGGTTAGTCCCTAAAAGAGACAGAACCTCATGTTTAAGAAGAAAATATGACGTGAGAGACTTATCTTGGAAATATAAAGAAGAAGGTTGAACCCACCCAGCAAATGAGATGATAAATACTTGCAAGTGAATAAATTACAAAATACCAGTCAATATTAAGTTAGGAGTCTGAGTAGCCAACCCAAACAAGCAGTCTTATAGCTGATGAAGCCTTTCAGGATAGGGATAGGAGATGCCAAATGCCTATATAATGGTGAAAATGCATACACAATGAGTGCATTCTCTCTCTGTGAAGCTTTCTGGCCTGAGGTGAAAACAGTAAGGTGTGAGCTTTGGAAGACAAAGCTCTTGACAGAAAAATTGTGTAACCCAAGGGTTTTCTGCAAGGTTACACAAAAAGTGGACAAAGTGTAAGAGCTCCCACAGGAACAAAGCTGAGGGGTAGTTCCAGAAACAAATGATCATGAAGCCTAATGATGGTTGACATCTCAGGAGGGAAGGGTGTAAAATAGAATTCCCTGAGATAAAACTGAAGCAGTATAACTCTAAAAAATAATGTCTCCCTATGAAGCAAAATCTAGAAAACAAACGAAGTACATGAATTGGAATACATCTGAAGAAGAAAATGGGCAACCTGAAGAACAGGTTAGTGCAACCTTCCCCAGTAAATATGTCGGGGTGGTGATGCAGAGCCTTTAAAGGAAAGAGTAAAGAGGACAGAAAACTAAGAAGGTGAGCATGAAAAAGGCAAAGACAAGTAGACTGAAACAAACAGAGAGTCAAAGCATAAGAAGAAAAAAATCCCCAAGCTGGAAGAAGAGATTCAAGCATTCACAAACATTAGAAAAGAGGAAGAATTTCAACCTCAAGCCACAGAGAAGGAGTTTGAGGAAGATGTAGTTACTGAGAGTCAACATAAAGCAGAGACAGAAAAACCTGCAACAATAAGGTGAGGGAGGAGGAGTGGAAACAAATTGCATTAGCTGAATTGCATGAAGAGGCTCACTCAAGAATCTGCAGAAACAACTGAAGTAAGAAAACAAATTTCTCTTAATTGCATTACCAGAACATAAAAAAGACAATGGTGGCTGTTGCTTAATCTTCATCAGAAACGAAAAACATTTTGCAAAGACAGGATGTGGAAAGAGCTGATTAAAGTCATCCTAGTCAAGGCAGACTCGGCAGAAGTTGCAAAAGCAGGAGACAATGAGACCTAGGTTTGAGATAAAGAATGTAGGATAGAACCAACCACATGATGAACAATGGTGAAACATTGCTCACTGACAGAATAACTCCAGTCAGCTTGAAGGACAACTCAAATGGACAACAGTCTGGATCTCAGGATGTTTCATAAATATAGATATTAGAAGTCAAATTCAATAAGAATCACAAAATTGAATTTATGGAAAATATTAATATTCTTATAATTTCTACATTTCTTTTTGTTTTGTATTTTTAGGAGTTCTAGTTAATAAATGTACTTTAGCCTTGGTCATTTTTGTATTGAACACAAACACTATGTTAATGACAACTTGGAATAATACTATCAAAGAAACCATATCACAAACCCTGGAATGCATGTCTAAATATCTTGTAGTTTTATTAAAGGAGAAAATCAAAGGGATGTAAAAAAAGGATAGTGATTTGTATCAGAACCTCGAAATGAAATTAATTTTAAAATATATATCTTTCTATCTCAAAATTAAGAAAATGAATGGGCAGATAACACTTAAATTTCTAACAAAAATTGGTAAATAGTAGAAGTAAACAAATTTCATAATTTTCAATGAAAAAAAAAACATAACTGAACAATACAGTGCTAACAAATAAATGAGCTTTTGGTATGCACAAAGAAAAGTACTGTGCATGGAAGATGTATCTCCTTCCTACTGGTGGGGGGCTATAGTTTAATGCTGATTGCATCATAGACTAGTGCATTACACATTATCACATATAGGGGTTGGAGTATTTTCAAAGGCTTGGCTCATGCACAAAAAATTTTCAGCAGTAGCACAAGGTATTTGCTATCTGTTCTGTAGAGAGGAGAGTAGCATTCTGAATTCTGGTTTGGTGTAAGGGAAAACATTATTACTTCTGCAGGCTAGTAGGTTAACTACTGTGTATATAAGTCATTGATTTTAAAGTTATTTTTTCAGATTTAATATGCACATTTTGCAAACAAAAAATTACAAAAAGACCAATGTGCCACATTAACAAACAATATAGTAAAAAGTGATTTGTCTGTTTGTTTTTAGCTAAGCACAAAACTATACAATGGGCTATCTATGATGTGCCCACCACAGGTTTTAAAACCCAGTTTTTAGCATTATAAGCCTTCAGACTTACTGTTGAGCCACTATGAGGCAAGTGATGTGTAAAAACTTTTTAAAGAATTAAATCAATACCACATGGCTTTAAGCACTACTGATACTGAAGACATATAAATTTCACTCAATGGTCAAGTGAGTTTAAATATGTGTCTGCATCATAAGCAACATAGTGATATTCTAATACTACTCAAGTCTATGTAATAAAATAACATAAATGGTGCATACAAAGTTCCAACTGGTTAGAATAACAGTTTTTAAAAAGTCTGTTTTGTTCAGGATTATATATAAAACCTTGTAATTTTTTAATGTACATCTACTCAATGATATGAAAATAATAAAACAGAGAATTTCAAAAAGAAATTTTGTAAAGAAAAAATTAAAGAAACCTTTTCACATAATCAGTGTATTTTTAGTGTAATCAGTAAATTTATAACTACACAACCTGACTTGTTAGAAAAATAAAAAGTAAGTATGGATAGTAAAGAATAATTTATGTTGATAAATACAGAAAAAGTGATATGACTGTACAAATTAAATTGCAGCTTGTAAAATATACACATGTGTTTGTTTTGTTTGTTTTTAATTATGCACAAAGCTACACAAGGGCTATCTGTGCTCTGCCCACCACGGGTATCGAAACCCGGTTTCTAGCGTTGTAAGTCCGCAGACATACCGCTGTGCCACTGGGGGGCATTTGCTTTACATAAAAAGAAGAATATAGGTAAGATTGTTTGGTAACAGTTTGGTGGGGCATTTTCTTTACATAAAAAGAAGAATATAGGTAAGATTGTTTGGTAACAGTTTGAAGCTTTCAGTTATAATGAACAGTGGAAAAATAATCAAAGAGTGTTCTGGAATTTACTTAAACTATAAATGATGAATTAAAAGGTTATTGTAATCTTCATACAAGTTCAGTAACACTTCATTTAAAATACTATATGCAGTTTTGGTTCATTACATGAAATATTCAGTCATAATGAACAGACAACAGACACTAGTTACTGGAATGTCTTTTGTTTTAAAAAAAATTGGACTATGATGAGATGCTTTTTTTTTTCTAGCATAGGAAAAGTTGAAGTGGCATGATTCAAGGTTTAAAAACTGTAAAGAATATTGATTTGCCGATAAGCAAGGTAATACTTTTTCATGTTTACTCCGATTACTTTAGGCAAGGTCATAAAAGTGAAACATTTGACCCCATATAAATCTGGACCTTTTGAGCAATAATGATTACCTTTGGTATGTAACTTAAGTACAAAGGCAACTGTCACAATGACAAATAGATAAATAACCCTTATGATAATATACCAAGTAACTAAATGACTGAGGTAACAGAAATTTTATTCTGGTAATTGAATACCTTAGTATAGAGGTTTTTTGTCCAAATCTCAATATTTTACATTCAAGTGTTAATAAATAAAAGAATTTTACAATAAAATATTTAATTAATAAATAAAATGTGCCCTTTAATCAAATCATATATCATAATCAAGTTCAAAAAGACCTTTCATGAACTTCAGGCTGGATTGAACATTTTTAGGCTACCTGCAACACAATTCTAATGTATTTACTGTAATGTAACTTTGTATATTATTTTTGGAAACTCTCATACACTAATGAAACACTTTTTTTTTATAATTATCATTGATTTTTTTTTATGAATCAACATAAAAGAAAGAAAAATCTGGGCATCCATTAAAACCAGGATGAAATTCTGCTGTTATTCTAATGCTGGTATTCACTACCATGACTCATCTGATCTGCTTTTCATTCAATCCCTATGTCTTCCATCATACTGTCAGAAACAGACTCAATGACTTACAGAATCCAAACAATCATTAAGTATTCTCCAAATGAACCAATAAATGACATAATGACATTAGATTTGTTGTGAGAAGAAGTTATTTAGCAGCTTTGATGTTAGTCTTTCTTAAAACAAATGGGTAGTATCATATGGCTGTGTGACTTATATGATTGGTCAATAAGGGTTAATATATCCAAGTGACACATTTTTTATTTGATGATGCATTGTTATTGGTACCCACCCTGATCTTACCACTTATAAAAAAAAAAACACATCTAAGGTAAGTTTACAATTATGAAATTTTGAATTTAGTTGCCTGTTTAACATGCATTTATTTATTTCAAACTGTCATAAAATAATGGTTGTATGTTTTTTTCTTTAATAAACTATAAGTTACACATTGAGCAACATCCTTTGTTGTATGTTCATATGAGTACTGACAACCTTTTGCTGAGAATTCATTTCTACCTTAAAACATAATTAGATTAATTTGGTAAGCATTATCACTTTCTTACTCTGTAGGAAGTTTTTTGGTTTGAAGTGATGCCTCAGCTTTCTGTTTTTTCTTTACCATGGTTTCAAGATTCTTCTTATGCCAAGCCATAACCATAGCATCTAACTGATCCTTACCCACATCCACATTTTGTGTCATACTTATAGTTTCAGGTACTGATGAATTATCTTTGCTGTTTGGTAGGATTTGCTCTATATGCACTGTGTCTGCTCCACTGTGACTTGGCAAATATTTGGAAATGTTCATATTGTCTGCCTGGAAGCTTTCTGGATTTGTCAACAGCTGCATTCCTTGGATCTTTAAAAGACAAAAAAAAAATAAAAAATAAATGATCCAAGCCTAGTGATAAATATATGTATGCTAAAATATTCATAAGATTATGCCAAATATTTTTCATTTTGTTCATGCACTTCTATTAGTGTATGATTCTGAATTATGAATTTCATATAATTAAGGAATAATTCACAATCTCTGTACATATATTATTACCACTTATATTTACTTAGACACTAATCCAAAATTAATAACTGATTATATTCTTAAATACATTTATGGTGTTTTGAGTTGTATTTTACTAACCAGAGAGAACTTGTATTTACATGATAGTTAGAAAATATGTAGCATTGGTGATACTAATTTATTCTACTGAAGTATTCAGCATATAAGCTATTTCATATACTACAAATAAATATGAAGCCAAATCTATCATTTGACTGATCACTTGTCACGGTAATGAAGTAGTAAATCAACAACTAGGAGATCAAAGATCATTTAAAATACATCTGCAAAATTGATGAGAGTAGTGGGGTCAACAGTCTATCTTCCAGTGTCTGTAAATCTTCCAGCAAAGACAAATTGTTGCCCTATATTGCTTAAACTAAAAACACAAATAATCTATATACAAACATTTTACATTTCAACCACACAAAGCCCAATATGGCCAGACGGTTAAAGTGTTTCACTTGCAATCTGAGGGTGGCGAGTTTGAACCCCCATCACACCAAGCATGCTTGCCCTTTCAGTTATGGGGGCATTATAATGTGATGGTCAATCCCACTATTCATTGGTGAAAGAGTAGCCTAAAAATTGGCGGTGGGTGGTGATGAACAACTGCCTTCCCTCTAGTCTTCCACTGCTAAATTAGGGACGACTAGTGCAGATAGCCCTCATGTAGCTTTGCATGAAATTCGAAACAAACCAAACCAAATCAAACACTCAAAAATGTTATTTCTGCCTTGTCTATAAACAAAACAGTTTCACAAAACCAACTGACATCATAAGAAGAATACAGCAAATGGAGAAAAATTTTAATGAGCATTTTATTTGGCCATAAAAAAATCAGAGAAACCATTTACTAACTTTGCTAACCTAATGCAGTTACAGTCTCTCAACAATGTGGCAAGAGGAGAGATATAATACCAGGATGACAAATCATGCAAAACATTTATAAGCCATATAGCAGGAGTAAAGCATGATGAACTCAAAAACAAATGGTAAAAGAACATGACTCTTTCTGTTCTGTGTGATAATACCAATGGCAAAATGAACATTGAAAAAATTGATTTATGTCAGACGCATCAAAGATAGCTATCTAACAAATTATTTTGAGATAGCATTTGACCTGTCATCCAGGAAAGCTGTCAAACCATGAACTTTGCGATCCAGCATTTTGAGGTTTAATCCCAGGAGTGCTGGTATAAGCTAATTGACCTTGGCTGTGACAGTGATGACAATGCTGGAATAAGGCAGCATGTATGACAATTGTTTTAAAAAGAGTTTCATCACTGTTAAACAGATACTGTTTACCAGCTGGCTGTAAAAGAATGTTAAAGCAATACTTAAACAGTTACAATGCTTGAAATCTTGGCAACCATATATTATTTCTACTATAATTCCCCCAAGCACTTTAAACAGCTCAAAGAGGTTGCTGAAATCACTGAAGAGCAAATGGTTTCAGGTGGCTCAACCATAAAATAAGAGCAATTCAAAAATTGAAGATAAATTACCCAAATTACTGTCACCCACCCGGAGAAAATTACTGAAGACCATAATTCAAACAAGAAAACAAGTCCAAAGGAACTGATATTCTCCAGCATATCACACAATACAGATTTGTTCTGAACATTCACTTTCTTTTGAATGTTATAAACCAAGTGTGTTAGTTTCAAGTTCATTGATTTAATTTAAAATAGTCAGGTAGGAGCCACAAAATAAACGAGGCTTGCAGAAAATATTTTGTTGAAGAAAAATCTGAATGCTCTAGCCTTGACTGAATTTGAAGCAAAGAGACTGGACACAGCAATTTAAGGTAAAAAAAGTATCTTGTGGGCCGGAGCATATTAAAGCAGGGGCTATTGAAGCTATAGCCCCAAGACTGGGCTAAAAAAGGCCCATGAAGTATTGTTACTTTCCTACACTGAAAATATATTTCCAATAAGTATAGCTATTATCATTCAGTGTTCACCTCGATATGCATAAATTTTTTGCATGTCACAAGCCTTGAACTCCCACACACCCCATAACCAACGTGGTTCACTATGTTTCACGTGTAAATCATCATGTGACAACCTCCCACCAATAGGAGTGTGACACACCCGACTGATGCATGTGACTTCCTCTATTTGAATCTACCAAACTATCACTTAAGAGATTAGGCAGAAAGGAAGCACCAACTTTTAGTGGGAGGGGAGTGTGGGAAGTGTGAGAACAGGTAAGTACCTATTGGAAATATATTTTCAGTGTAGGAAAATAATAACTTCCGATACAGTACCTTACCTTCTCTCAAATAATAGCTAGAATCCCACATTGAAAAAGTGGAGGGACCGATGTGAGGGATATAGATAAGCATCCATTCAAAGTGCCTGAAGAACACCCACTGAATGTGAGCCCCCAATGGGAAAGTAATATACATAGGAGACAGCGCCACATGTGTAACAGGTATAACCTTTGCCCAGTGTGGTAGTAGGTGTCGCATAAACTGGCAGAAATTGAAACACATGTAACGAATGAGAGAAAAGCATCTGAGTGGTTCTGACACTACATCCCATTGAAATCACTGGAATCGTAGTCCAGGATGAAAATGAATGTAGGGTCCCCATCCACAGATCGGATGGTAGGGAAGGCTAAAATGAATGTGCCCTTGGTGTAGAGTGGTTAGAACACATCAGACTATACTCAGCAGGTCAACTCCAGTCCAAAACCAGGCAGCATCAGACAAAGATAATCTGACCCGTGATAGAAGAAGGGTCCACACCACCTTCACCTCAGGTTGAGTAGAACATAAGGCAAAAAATTCCATACTGATCAACAACCAACATCAGTCATATGGGAATCCAACAACAAATGACAACAGGAAGGGATGTGCCAATGTAGCGGTTCACTTCAATTCCAAAACCAAGTGGACCAGTTCCACTCTGTGCAACATCTGCTTCAAGTAGTTAACCTCCCTGAGGTGGAGTGCCAGAGGGGCAAAATTTGCCCAGTGCAACATCATCCTCCAGACAGGACTGCATAGAAGCTGGAGTGCATGGATGACCAGTTGACACCTCAAGCAACCACAGAGCTGGAGAAAATCAAACCAGATCTGTGCAACATTAGCCTCTGGGACCTATTACATGGAGATGGAGTGCATGAGGCAAACACCTGTGACTGAGATAGGATGAGTAATTATGACCAACATGTGTGAGAATCTATGTTGATTGGTCCAGCTCTAATTTGAAATCATTCACTGGGAACAGATATCCAGTCGATAGTAGGACAACAGATCCCAATCAGGGAGTGAATGGCAATGTGGCAGATCTACTCAAATTCATGGAATACACTATTGTGATGTATGTGCATCATCATCCCCCAAATTGGACCACACAAAAGCTGGAGCACATGGATGCACAATATCAACCTCCAGGACCCACTGCACAGAGGTGGAGCACAGGAATGGTGGATCTATGCCATCTACTGTACTCCACTCTACTCTCTAGTGCATGGAAGTGAGAACATTCAGGAGGCTGTCTCCCTGGTCCACCACTCCAATGGCTTGGAACTGGAAAATGGCAAGGACTATAATACTCCACTAGAATAAATTGGGAGGGGGAAGAAATGCAGTGGAGAGTCTGGAGAAACACTGACACCGGAGACAGTGCAGTGGGTGACTACTAAAACACTATTTTTAAAAGCAAACTTCCCTTCATTTATTCAGCGGAAAGGATATTAGGGATGGGCAGCAATCCCCTTCTTCTTTACCCTGAAAGTCCATGGGTCATTACGGTCTAGAATGGATATTTGCATGAAGCAAAATACCACAAAGAAAATTGACGAGCAATCTGGTGGAACCCCCATCTCAACATTGTGCATTATTGGCCATGGGTATACATCAAGATTGGTGGGATTAACCTCCACCCAAAGACAACTTCAGTGGAACATCCCATAAAACCTTCACCAAACTACTCCGAGCAACATCATCATCTAGAGTCCAACCCCATTGAGGTAGAGCATCAGGAGTAGCCATGTATAACCCGTGGAATATCATCCTCCAGATAGGACCGCACAGAGGCCATGGCACATGTATCACCAGCAGATATCTCGAGTAACCACAGTCCACAGGACAATCAGAACTAGGACTGCACAATATCAACCTAAGGACCCACTGCATGGAGGTGTAGCATCTGAGTCACTAGGCGGCAGACAATATACCCCAGTATTACTTATGGTCAGCCTTATAGTGCAGATTTTGGGAATGCATAGATAAGTAGCATACCTGGACAGGCAATGCTCACCTTACAGCAAGATCCTAGACTTAAAAGGAACATGCCACTGTAATCAACAGTAATATACAGAAAAAGATAACTTGCCAAGTTACAATCAAACAAATGTTTGAAGGATGACAACAGGTGGAAGGCAGTATCCTAGCAAGGAAGAAACATCCACCCGATGAAAGTAGTGGGAGATGAACATATGAGGTATCATCCACATGTCCAACTGCAGAATTGCCTCCAATGGACAACAGAGGTGAGATACCGGGGAAAAGGTAATGTAGTGTATCTGATGTGACAACACCTGGAACAATTTACGAAAAGAAGGAGATAGAGAGGAATACACCAGGGAATGAAAAGGTGGGATCAGGAACAATGGAAGGAAGGTGTGCAGGCAGTATAACAATGAAGAACACAGACTGGATATAGAAGTCTATCCGGATTGGACAGAGGATAAAGGTGAAAATGTAGGAAAGGGAAATTGACATGAATGAGGGATGTCCCTCATGAGCTGCCAAAGTTTTGAGCAAGAAAGGTCAATCTAGATAA